CTTTCCGCATCGGGTTCCCCGCCATGTCCATGCCCGCGTACCTGGGGAGGGGGAGGGAGGGGAGAGGTCAGTGTTTGTGTTTTGGGGAGAGTTTTACGGCACTTGAAATACATCTAAGGTCATGTAATTGTCAGAGAGAGGTCAGTTTTATTGTTAGTGAGAGTTTTACGGAATTTGGAACACATCTAAGGCCATATAAGTGCCGGGGATAGGTCAGTTTTTTTGTTTTCGTTTGAGTTTTTCGGCACTTGCAATACAATTAGGTTATATAAGGCAAAAAGGTGCAGAGTCAAGGAAGGCCAGAAACACTATATGTCATGAGGCGAAAAAATACAAAGTAAAGACACAAGATTGATGACATAACTCCTGTATTATAACGCAAGCTGTCTTCTCTTGTTTTTTATATTTAGAACATGCACATCGACCTCGGTTATGTTAGAGAACATAAATAAATAAATAAATAAATAAATAAATAAATAAATAAATAAATAAATAAATAAATAAATAGATAAATAATTGGACCTATTTCTATCAGTTACACGGTTAGATTATGATTCCAATGCATTGCAACTGCAAAATAAAAAAAGTTTTTAAACAGTAAAGTGTTTACCCCCCCCCCCCCCCCCGGGCCCAAACATACACATACCCCCACACACACACAAACACACACACACACACACACACACACACACACACACACACACACACCAACATTATGTACACACACATACACACACACGCAAACACAAACACACAAACAAACACACATAAGTCTCCAGCTAAAACACAAGACAGCTAGCTATAATATAGCAGACAGCGCGCTCTGTTCTTCTTAAACTATCTGCCAACCGCGAATCTCTGTCCCCTTGGCGAAGGTGACAACACGGGTTATCCCCTCCCCCTTCCCACCCCCACCCCCACCCCCCAACCACCCGCTCTGTTCGTCTTTAACTATCTGCCAACCGCGAATCTCTGTCCCCTGAACGAAGGTGACAACAAGGGTGACCCACCCCTACCCGCCCTCGGACGGAGAGGTTGGACTCGGGATTTATATGCGGGGTATAAAGGGATCGCGCGACAGCGCTGACGGCTGTTGTGTTGAGTTTAGGAGGAGCTTGAGGGTCCTGGCCGGAGAAATAAACCCGCCCCGGACGAAAGCCGTGTTTGTCATGACTGCTGAGATCAGGGGGGAGAGGAGGGCGGGGAGGGGCTACGGTACTGGTCTATTGTGAGTTAGCTTCTCCACGCCGGAAATCAAAACCCATGTATTGCGTTTATAGTAGAGTAGTTTTCTTCCAGTGGTTACCTGGTTGGGTCCGAACATCTACCGATGACATGATAACATGGAATGCTGGACACTTGGGAGCTTCGGGTTCTTAAAAAATAAAAAAGATTTGATTTATTAAAGTAACTGATAACAGTCGGTTTACTTCAAAAGAGTCGGAACCTTTCTTCCGTAGCATCATTCGTGGGAATCGGTTCCGGAATCAATTCTTCGCCCAGCTCTACTCTCCGGGACCCACAGACGAGGTGAAGGGACGACACCTCTACCTCCCTCCGTCTCTCCGTCCTTCCCTCCCTCCCTCCCTCACTCACTCCGTCTCTCCGTCTCTCCCTCATTCCGTCTTTCCATCTCTCCGTTTCTCCGTCCCTCCCTCCCTCTGTCACTCCGCACTCTTCTTGCGCTGTTCACAAACGTTTATCCGCCCCCCCCCCCCTTTTAATTATAAAGAATTAAAGAGCGATAAAAGGAATGGAGTACGGGAGGGAGGTAGCTAGACAGACAGACAGACAGACAGACAGACAGACAGATAGATAGATAGATAGATAGATAGATAGATAGATAGATAGATAGATAGATAGATAGATAGATAGATAGATAGATAGATAGATAGATAGATAGATAGATAGATAGAAAAGAGACTGAGAGAGTGAGAAAAGAGACTGAGAGAGAGGGAGAGAGAGAGAGAGAGAGAGAGAGAGAGAGAGAGAGGGAGGGAGAGAGAGAGAGAGAGAGAGAGAGAGAGAGAGAGAGAGAGAGAGAGAGAGAGAGAGACAGAGAGACGCGACGGATGACACCCAGCAGAAGTCGCCTATTCTCCTGTTCCCCTGCTCTCAGCTATAAACAACAGAGGCAAACAGAGAAAGGAAAGAAAGAATTCTGCTTGAAAACGCCTAACAAAACTGCTAGTCAAGAAAACATGATTGATAGGCAATTGGACGCCTGCCCTCTCTTTCCTTACATGGCTGCCAGACCTTGTAAACGGCAAGCAGGGTTTTATTTGGTGTTTTTTTATATTTGGAAATTTAAAATTCTTTTTATTTTTTATTTTTTAAATTTATTTATTTATTTATTTATTTATTTATTTATTTATTTATTTATTTATTTATTTATTTATTTCATTTATTTACTCATTCATTCATTCATTCATTCATTCATTCATTCATTCATTCATTCATTCATTCATTCATTCATTCATTCATCCATTCATTCATTCGTTCATTCATTCATTCATTCATCCATTCATTTTTTTACTCATTCGTTCATTCATTAATTCATTCATTAAATTTTTAAAAAAATTGTTTTTGGTTTTTTTTGGGGAGGGGGAGGTTGTCATATTCCAAACGGCAATAGTAATGACGAAATCATAGATAGTATTTTGTATAGAGCATATCCCCGCCCAACCGTAAGTTCTGTGCACTTCACAATCTATTTTATTAAAGTATTCACCAAACAGGCCCAAAAAAACACTCAGATTCATCACTCTAAGCTTTACGACAAGCAGACGTGAGGCATCGGGGTGAAATCAGCTAGCGCTCGTTGAAATAATGAAAGGGAAGAATTAATAGGCATTTTGCTGTAGGTTTGGGGTTTTTTATCGACTTTTTGTTTTGTTTTTGGCTCACACCTTCCATGTCCATTAAAGAACATTTATGTGTGGATTGTCCAGAAAATGTCAATAAAAGCATTAATAAATGTAAATTTTCAGTGTCTAAGGACTCTCAGGCTACGGAAGTTACCAAACTTTGGTGGCTATTTTCTCGCTAATTTTACCTCTGAAACCAGGCGACCCTAACCTCCTTCAATCGCAAATATTTCGACTTCTATTCAAAATAGATGGGTATTTTTTTTTCCACCCAAAAGGAAGGCAAATGAATAGGCTTTAGATACCAATAACTACATATGCCCAAAAATTGACGAGTGCCTGATTCCACCAAGGTGCTGGTGACTGCCATGACAAGCTTGACATTTCATAAGGTTGAGCAATATGTGTTTAGGCTGCTGACATTTTGTAAAGGTTTTCTGTATTTCAAAGGGTGATTGAAAACGTATTAATAACCCTTAGAAAAGTCTTTTAATATCACTCTACACAAGTTGGCGCTCATAATATGACCTTATGCAGTTGCAAGCGCCGTAAAACCTCTTCTAAAACAAAACAAACTTTTACGCAAAGAGTCACTAAAATGTGATAGGAAAATTCTTTCAGTAAGAAAGAAACCAGAGGTAAATCGCCTTATTTAGAAGAAATTGAAATTAAAAGTATTTTGTTCAGTCAGTATTAAATCATGTGGCTATGCTTGGTATCTTATAATGAAAAGAAGAAGCAAACATAAATTGTAATATATTATTTTCCTTTCAATAACATAAGACCAGTAGAAAAAGGGGAACAACGAACAAACAAACAAATAAACAAACAAGCGAACAAGCAGACAACGAAATACATAAGATGACCGAAATGTGTTGCAAGCTTTTATTGAAAATTGTTTCTCACGTACACGTATACAATAACTGAGCTTCTCTAGCAATCTTCCGTGTATCTCTGAGACACCAAGTCATTGCCACACCGCGTAACTAGCTTCTCTGTTCTAGTTTTGTGCATTCAAAGTTGGTTTATCTCTCATCAGAGTGCCGTGTTTATTAAGTACATAAACTGAAACTTGCGCTAAATTACGACTTTTGGGTTAAGTGTTAATATCTAGTGTTAAAATAATGAGAGCAAAATATGTCAATTTACTTTTTGGCTCATGCACTTGAAATTTGAGAGAAAGACGGGGGGTCTCCCTAAAAACATTTTAAAAAGTCCAACCAGCCAACTAACCAACCAACCACCCAACCAACCAACCAACCA